CATTCAACAGTTTTCAATATCATTAAACGATATAAAAAGAATCATATGATTCATTCAGGATAAAAGAAGACCTGGCCGACCATCAAAGCTATCCAATGGAAGGAATAAAGCGAATTATCGTTCGAAATATTAAAAAAAAATCCAAGAATGAGTGCTCCTAAAGTTGCTGCTGATTTACAAGCATTATATGGAGTAATTGTTAATTCCTGAGACTATTAGGAAGAGTAATTCGATCTGCTGGATATCACGGTAGAGCAGCCAGGAAAAAATTCTTCGTAAGTGAAAAGAATAGAAACTCAGACTGGCTTTCGCAAAATCCAACATAAATAAGAATTCTGATTACTGGAATGAAGTTATATTTGCTGATGAGAGTAAATTTAATATATTTGGTTCTGACGGTAGAATCTTGGTGTGGAGAAAACCCAGGAAAGAATTTCGCAAACAGAACTTGGTGCCAACAGTAAAACATGGTGGAGGAGAGTTATGGTATGGGGGTGTATGTCGTCCGCTGGAGTTGGTAATCTTGTTTTTATTGACAGTATAATGGATCAGTACAAGTATATTGACATTTTAAATCAAAATTTGAAATCTTCAGCACGAAAATTGAACCTTCATAACGATTTTAAATTCTACCAGGACAATGACCCCAAGCACAATGCTTTGAACGTTAGACTCTGGCTGCTGTATAACTGTCCTGAAATAATAAAAACACCCCCACAATCTCCACAATTAAATCCCATAGAGAATATTTGGCAAGAATTGGAATCAAGAATTCGCAAACACACCATTTCTTCAAAACAACAATTAAAATCGGTGCTTCAAGAAGAATGGGGTAAAATCACTCCAGAAATCACAAAAAAATTAGTCGAATCCATCCCAAGAAGATTAAATCATGTTTTAAAAGTAAAAGGAAATCCAACAAAATATTAAAACCTTTTAAAAAGTAAAATTTTTGGATAAATATTTGATGGAAAAGTAAGTGTCCCATCACTTATGTGAGCCATTTTCTGCTCCGTTCTAAACAATTGTATTTTTATTAAATTAATATTTTATATTTTTGAGAAAATGTATGTTATGTAATAATTGTTACTAAATTTAAGTATGAAACACACCCACAAAAAATTTTACATGTTTTTTTTTAATTTATTTTATTGCAGTTTCCTTTTGTAAAGCACAAGTGTCCCATCACTTTTTTGAGACACTGTATTTTGAAGCATAAATTATCGTCTGCAATTGACAATTTGTCTCGGACTTTGTGCTCTCTCCGAAGAAATTATTCGTATCTATTTATTAAAAGCGCTGTGAAGCCATGGCTTTTCGATATCTAAAGCTACGATAGGTAATATTGTCAACGATAGGAAATTAAAAAAAAGACACAAATATAATGTAATTAAAAAACAAAATAAAATCTGAAATTTTAAGATTTTACATTACGCCCCAAATGTGCATTTTTTTTAACACTTTGCGTGTTACCTTTATTAATTAAATATCATGTTCTTCGCACTTAAACCATAAAATTCAATTCAACGGCAATATCTCATAATAATTTTAAAATGAACGTATCTTTAAAATTTCCGATACACAGTCTCGCGCGCTTCCCCCCCCGATAAAAATGTATTTTATCTGTAGAGCATTGTCATTGCTTGCTTTGAAATTCCACAGTATTGTTAATCAAAAATTCGTTAAGTTTTACAAAACTATGAAAACGATAATAAAACAAATTCCAAATTTCAAATTTGGTCTTCCAGATGCCCATATTCAGTGGAGGATTTACGTTATTCAATGATTTGATGGCTCTAGGTACCGGATGATGTTATTCAAAATTTGATGTTTCTAAGTACCGTTGTTTTATCAAAATGCTGAAAACATACATACATTTATGAAGATTTTTAATCGTTTAATTCCTTTAAATATAATACAGGGCGATAATATTTGTTGGCCACAATTTGAAACATTGGCTTACATGTCTTTTCCCATGTACACATCGATCTATTTTCCTTAAAAAACATCCCAGAATTGCACAAACTCGGCATCTCGCACAACCTCGGCATTGCGCACCACATTGGCTTTGCCCATGTGCACATCGATTTCTTTTTCACTTAAAAAATCTCAGAATTGCACAAACTCGGCATCGCGCACCACATTGGCTTTGCCCATGTGCACATCGATCTATTTTCACTTAAAAAAATCCAGAATTGCACAAACTCGGCATCGCGCACAACCTGCATTGCGCACCACTTGGCTTTACCCATGTACAACATTGATCTATTTTCACTTTAAAAAATCCCAGAATTGCAAATGTACAAACTCGGCATTGCGCAACTACCTTGGCTTTGCCCATGTACATAGTGATCTCTTTTCACTTAAAAAAATCCAGAATTGCACAACTCACATTGCGCAGGCTTTGCCCATGTGCACATCGTCTATTTTTCACTTAAAAAAATCCCAGAATTGCACAAACTCGGCATCGCGCACAACGTGGGCATTGCGCCACTCATTGGCTTTGCCCATGTACATATCGATCTATTTTTTCTTAAAAAAATTCAGAGAATGCCCAACGTTAGCTTTCCAATCTTCTAGGATTGAGCCAAAAAGAAATACAAAATATATTAAAATAAGCAACTTTAAAACGAACAATAAAGAAAAATTTTTTCACTTACCCTTTTCAAGAAAATGTAAAGTCTTTTTGAGGGGTTTTATATATGAATTTATTTCAGGGGGAAACCCTTTTGGATCCCCCCTCATCTTTAAATAATTTTACAAACGTTTATACGCCGTTTCCGTAATATATGCAGAAAAAAGGCTAAAACCCACAGGGGGGAACACTCGATTAAAAAAAAGAAACCACATAAGAACATTCAAACCGCAACAGAATTAACAAGTAAAAATAATAAATAAATAAAATAAAATAAAAATAATGAAAGCTTTTAGATTTTACATTTTTTAACGTTTTGGTGTGTTACATTTCTTTATCATATAATGTTCTTTACACTTAAACCATAAAATTCAGTTCAACAGCAATATCGCAAAATAATTTTAAATGAGCATATCTTTAGAATTTCTGATACACAGTTTTGCGCTCTGCACGTAAAAATGTTTTTTTTTTGTTTTTTAGTCCAAAGGGATTTGAATCCCGAAGTAACTATTAGTTTTCGTTTTGGCATTTTGCGTCGGACTCATAAATGTCGGTTCACTTTTCAAACTGTTGCCACAAAAATGTTAGAGTCCCTGTGTTATATTTAAAGAAAATAAATAATTGAAAAATCTGCATAAATGTATGTATATTTCTTGCATTGTGATAAAACAACGGTACCTAGAGCCATCGAAATTTTGAATAACGTACGTCCTTCCAACCTAATATGAGGCATCGTGGAAGACCAAATTTGAAATTTGAAATTTTTTTTTATTATCGATTTCCTATTTTGTAAAACTTTGACGAAATTTTTGATTAACAAACTCAAGGATTTCAAAGCGAGAAATGGCAACACAGTACAGTGAAAGAAAAAAAACATTTTTATCGTCCAGCGCGTGAAAACTGTGTATCGGAAATTCTAAAGATATGCTCGTTTTTAAAACTATTTTGCGATATTGCTGTTGCACTGGATCTTATGGTTTAAGTGCGAGGAACATGATATTTAATAAAGAAAGGTAACACCCAAAATGTTAAAAACGCCCCTTTGACGTAATTTAAAATCTAAAACATTTCAGATTTTATTTATTAAATGCACAAAGAGATATTTATTTATTAAATGCACGTGCTCCTGTATTTTAATTTTTTCGGCTTAGCTCTCTCTTGTCACGCGCAGCATTGCATGCGGAAATGAAACAATTTAATAACAATTCTACTAACATTAGCTATTTAGATACCAAATCCGCAACAATATTCAACCTGTTTCTCGTTTTCCGCAGGAAATTATTCACTTAAGCCTGCTTCCACTAGATGATAAGTGGGAAAAGTCAAAAATGTTGTTAGTAACAACAATTTCTTTTTAGGGGCGGGGACTATTTCTCTCGGATGACGTTTAAATTGAAAAGTTAGCATATCCACCTGTTTGGAAATAAGACCTGAACTTCCTCCTTCAATGCAATACCCTCTTCTTGCACCATAGTATCAATATCAGATACCATTCAAAAGTCATTTTATATACGCATAAAAGTTCTCGGAAGGGGATGGCGAGATGAAATTGCCCTCCCAAGAACGTCTCAGACATGCTTTGTGGCATTAAGGTCAGATATCAGGATATCTGGCTGGTCAATCTATGCGGCGAATATCCTCACTTTCCAGCTAATCGTCGACGTGGTGAGTCGTATGTAGACGAGTCTTGTAGTTTCATGAACCGGAACATAGGAGCTACTGCGGACCTGAAATGTATAACATAGGGCTCTAAAATCTCACCTTTTTATCTCATACCAGTCAGGGAAGCTTCGTCAAACACATGCAGAGCTGTGCGCAGTACAACGTAATACCTGCGCAAACCATTACACCTCCACTACCGTTATGATCCTTTTCCCTGATGGTGGAGGGATGGTATCATGTTCTAGACTCTCTTTAGATACCGATAGGTAGAGAATCAGAGTCTAGGCTGAATCTCGACTCATCTATAAAAAGCGCGATGCTCCGCTGTCGTCTGGTCCAATGCACATGTTGTCTTCACCGTGTTAAACTCACTCTTTTGTAAACTGCAGTAGGCGGAGCACACTGCAGTGAGCAGAATAGTCGGTCTTCTGGTATATAACACTACTTCATGAAGTATTCAGGTAACTGTAGACTTTAAAACCTGTGTTCCTATGGCAGTATACAGCTCACATTTCATGTGAGAGAATAACTCATGTGACAGGAAATATACACATGTCAAATCAAAACTAACAATTTCTGATAGCACGAATTTCAGAAGCGATTAACATTACCTTTATAGGAAACTAGCTCTTCAATTTAAAAAAGAATAAGATTAAAAAATAAAAATAAAACTTATTTTTTCATTTTTCATCATGCATTACAGGCGGTGATCCGTGTACACTTCCGAAAGATAAAGGCCCTTGCAAAGCACGTATACCACGCTGGTACTACAATGGCAAAAAATGCAAAAGATTCATCTACGGTGGATGTGGAGCAAATGGCAACAATTTTGAAACAAAAAAAGAATGCAAAAGAGCGTGTTCCAAAGGCAAAGTATGTTATTATTATTTTTAATGTAATAAGTTATAAACTGTAAGTTGAATTTTATGCGTTATTTTAGGGACCTAAATCGTTTTTTTTTTTTATATTTTCATATCCGTTTTCACGAAACTTCAATCAGTTTCAGCTCAATTTCTTTACATTCAAATTACCTAGTTAAAACTTATAATTCATTTTATCAGTTTCTTTTCATGTTAAATTAGATCATATTTTGCGCACTTTCAACTGCTGTCATCGTTATACATCTTTTCTTCATAAATTTTGACATCTTATCAGCCATCTTAATTCTTGAATAAATCGTTTTATCTTATTTATACTGCTTAACACATTTTCTAATAAATTCCATTTCTGTGACATAACTAAATGTCGGAACATTGACTCATGAACCCAAGCTACCTTTGATTCTAATTAACCACGATACCAAACAGTGTCCACACCTCCATTTAGCCTTCGAAAGATGTGAACGGATTATTCACTAAAGCATAGTTATAATAGCAAACACAGAATATTTATTAGGCAATACAAAACCACAAACTTACTCAAAGACTATTTGTGTAATATTCTCCGAGAAGTCTTGCCTTTCTAAGTCCAAGAAAAAATGTATATCCAGGTACGTATTAGCGGTCATGCTCTTGGGTACCGTGGTTATACAAGGGCAGGTGATAATTTATTCAGTAATGATTATCGAAACCCGTGTATGTCAAGACGTTCATTTTTTAATAAATTATGAGACATTTTCTCCCTCCTTACAGCATGTTATTGTAGTATAACAGTAGCACACACTGCGCGTTTTCAAGAGGTCCAGGTTGGAGTCCTGGCACTGCTCATTTTTCAAGTATCCCTCATCAAACAAAACCCTAAAGACTCTACATTGGAGCCCTAACTAAAAGGTGGCAGACAATAATTCCTCACCGCCATGATTTGGCGATTAGGTGCCCTAATCCCCAGGCGTCCATTAAAAGGGGAAGTGTAAAAGTATTTTCTCCCTCCTTCCAGCATGCCATGGTTGTGTAACTTAACACACTTCGATCGTATTCGAAAGGTATATATTTTATATTTATTAATTTCTACATGCAGATAAGTAAAATAAACAGTTTTAGTGAAATACCCTTAAAACTTTTATAATGCTTACATGTCCACCAAAAGTGCATTTTCAGTTCACTGATTTGGTTTTTATACATACTTAGGGTGGGATGACAGCTTTCAAATCAAGTCAAGTCAAACGTCTAAAATTTCCATTTTGATACTTAACGAAAAATGACAGATATGATCAACAGCTGTCTAGAAACTTGTATTTTTCCCCCTCTCTCCCACGGTTTTTATTTTAAATTAAATACTGAAGAAGAAAATTTATTAATAGAAGTGTTATACAATATATTTTACCCCAAAAAGCTAAATAAATAAAGAGCACTTTTCATCAGTAATAAAAGTGCAAGATTCAAGTACTAATAGCACACTTCCTGTTCTACTTCTTTCAACTCCATATAAAATACTCATTCGAGCGAGTTTTAGCTCTTAGTCATAGCAATGGCAATTTAAAAATTTAAGCGATAAAGTTTAAATAAACCACTTCAGATAATCCGATTTCCAAAAATGATAAGCTTCATAAAAAGCAATAAGTATAAAGTTGCATTCTCGCTTAAAACAGAGCAGACTTTAAAATATTGTTACGAATTTTGTACCTAGATGGGTAATTTTGCTAGAATTATAAGTAAAATTGTTATATCTCTTTCGTCACATGAAAAATCTAAACAGAGGCTATACCGTAAAATAAGAATGTAGGGGAAGTGCATTCAACATTGACTAAATAAATAACTCGGTAATTTGGCAAGATATCGCCAAGCTGACAACTTATTTTGCTGCCAAATTTGGCGAGAAATCTCCAAAAGGTTCCAAACATGGTGAATATTTGTCGAGATTTTGGTCCGATCCTTGTATAACCGTAATATGCATGAAACTGAATAAATGTAATTGATTACTGTGTTATCTGTAACCGTAATTCTACCCTCATATTGCTTTCCAGTAATTTCAAGAAGCAGAAAGTACTATAAATATCTCGGCGCTGGTTAAAAAGTATTTAAGTCCGGAGAGACAGCATCTGCTCTCAGATGCTTAGTTATTGTTGTTCGCGTGAACTGAGCTATATCTGAGTTAGATTTCTCTTTAGACGCGTTTTGCATTGCGTTGTGTTTAAAATTCTTATTAATTTAAAGTGTGACTACTGATTATACTCTGTGATATTTCCAGAATTTTGAAATGTTTATTTTGATAAAATAAATTTTATTAGCCTATCATCGGACCTGTGTGCATTCAATATATTACGAACCCGTACGCACACAACAATATTAATATAAGCATATAGTATTCTCATGCATTTTGATTAAAGTCAGATTGTTACGTAAAGAGCGTAAAAAGTAAATTCAATAAACTAATCTATCACAAAGCAATTAATTATACTGCTAAATGAGCAGATATTTCAAAACTCGGTTTTACGAAAATATAATTTCGTTTCGTTTTGTATAAAAATAAAGTATTTCGCATTAACAGTTTGTAAGGTCCCTCACTTGAAATTCTAAAGTTAATGTTTGGAGTGAGAAACCTAGGAACTGATAAGCGAATAATCGCTAAGTTCGAAGACAGAAACACAAGAGAGAAGGGTAAATAACCCTTTATTGTTTCGATAAGATTTAACAAAATCCGCCTGGGAGTGAACAAATAAAGTCCGCACTTTGGACTTGAACTTAAAGACTAAGAATTAAACTAAACTAAGATTAACTAACTAAGTATAGCCAAAGCTATCAAGGTTCAATGAGAGTTGGCTCCTTAACCTATTTTTTCTACGAAGCTTAGCAAGGGCCTGAGTACGGCCGAGCGTAAAAATAGCTTTGAGAGAGAGAGAGGGCCAAAAAGGAAGACGCGCATAGTTCAGAAACTCTGTTTCTCTCTCTGTCTCAGTAAGTAACTTCGTGGTTTAAATACCGCTCCTTCTCATTAAATATTCAGCAAAATTCCAAAACTACGTTTCTGGCCGGAAATAGTTAAGTTGAAGTTGAGTTAAGAATTTGACAGGAAAGAACTTAAATTTAACTGTTAATAAATTAACATAATTCTTACATAGCTACCGACAAACTTTAAATACTCGAAAAATAGGTCTCAAAACGACCTTGTTTAAGACTTTAAAGTCTAAAACTTACATTAACTACACTCTTCCAACTTTACATTAACTAAATGACTTTAAAGTTTCGTTTTCAGGGCCAACTTTACAACAATTCTAAAAGCTAGACTAAAGCTAGGAAAATAAAAATTTATACTGCGTCCTTTCTGGACATTATATCTTGACATACTCTTCTCCTATATGATTCTTATGCTGCTGACTTAGTCAGGTTCTTGATCCTTCCATATCTGGAAGGAAATGTCATAGTAAGCACTTTACAGAACTTTTTTTAAATCCTAGCTTTACGCTTTTAATTCATCTTTGGCCCTTATGCACCTTCATTCATACTACAGATTTATTTCACATCTCTCCAGCAATGTACTGAAATGTACTTAGGGTCTTTTATTTTGTGTTACTGCGAACAAACTACCGCTACACAACACCTAATTTGTTAAATTTGGCACACTAGACCTGCCAAGACTCCTTACACGAAAACTGTTTCCTACTGTAGTAAGCAAAAGCTTATATTTTACTTTTAAACGTGTTAACTGGAGAGCCTAACATTAAACATATATATAAACTTCCATTCTTCCGTAACTCCCATACACAGAATAAAAATTTATTTTCTATGTCCTTTTAATCTTTAAGATATTTCAACACAAAGACCAACATTCTACATGAACATAACATTTAAATATTTACACATTACTTTAAATTCATTTTATTTCAACAGTCATAGTTGCTTAATTAACTTTACCAAAATTTGCACGAAATCTTAACTTTACGTAAACATAATAGTATTCCATAGTCTTCCGACTAAACTTATTCACAACTTACTTCTCGCAATTTGCGAGTTCTTAACAAAAGGTATTTAACGCTAGTAGCTTCTCGCCAAATTACTAACATAAAAATCTACTAACATAAAAATCAATTATAAAAATCTATGTTTACGAACATTTACAATCAAAATATCGCTATCTGCGATTTAAGTTTTCTAAACATATTTATCAACTTACAACAATATGATATAATTTGAACTTCAAAGAAAAATTAGCAAAAAAAATTTCACTTATCTTTTTCTGTATTCCTGCATCCTGTCCTTACAGAATGATCAATGTAGAAAACCTGATAACCTCCAATCTCTTCTCGATGTTTATATTTCGTTCCATTTAGTTCCAGTGCTTTCCTTTTTTCCCTTATGTAGGAATCTGGGACTCTTCCGCGCAGGTTGTGGATTCTGGAATGCCAATTTCCTTTTTGGCTCCGGTGGGCTCTCCGTCTTCAGGGTCTTTGAATCTTCTCTTGGCCCTTCTAACTTGTTGCTCCGGCACGGTTGGGTCTACTGGTCTTTTCTGTCTTTCGGTCTCCACGCTGGTCTCCTTGGGTCTGCCTTGTAGTTGTTGATGCTGGAAACTGTGCTTTACTTCTAGTTTTAATTCGTCGTTAAATTTTCTCCTTTCCTGGAACCTTGTCAGCGGCCCTCCCTCTGTGGTCGATGGCACTTGAGTTTTTGCGCATCATCGATTCTGACTCGTTGATCTGTCGGTGCTAATTCCTCCTTTTTTGTGCGCTTGCCTTAGTGGTATGGGTTTCCCTGATCAAAGTTTGTTGGCTCTGCTTCTTTTTTTGCGTTGGGGGACCGAGCTGTACTCCTGAGCTGGGGGCTTCTCTCCTTACTTCCAGGATCCTGTAATAATCCTGCAATATTTAAAAGTCAGTGCGACTGTAATAAGGTTTTACTGATCGATATTTGCCATCAGTTGCTGTCCATTTTCGGCCTTTAAATAAAACGTGGCTTCTCTTATTCTTTCCACCATGTACGGCCCTTCAAACCTGGGCT